ATATATATATATATATATATTTAAACAACAGTTTATCAAAAATATAAAACAATTTTTTTTCCCAATCTTTTATTTCATGAATGTCAAGTTCACTTTTAAGTCAATATGGACAGAGCAAACACATTGCAGCAAACAGAAACAAAATGTGACAAGTTAGCCAGTCAGAGCCTACCTCAGGGCCTGTTTCCCCAGATGGACCCGCGTCTCCTTGTGGCCCCCTTTGTCCCTAACAAATGAAGTGTAACAAAGAAATATATATATATCTATTAGTAACCCAGGAAAGAATTTTGAGTATTCAGAAAGATATATATTGCAGTAAAAATTGTCGGCAAGGAAATGATTAAACTCTATGAGCTGGGCCCGTGTAACTGCAACACACAGGGGGTTAGTGTAAACACAACACTATCGTCGAGCTCATATTTATTGTCATATTTGGAGGCAGTCATGTGGGGTCTGATGGTTTGAACCCGAGTACATTCTCTTTGTAACTGAACCAATTATAAACATCTGTTTTAATTCTGCCAAAATTAACTTCAATTACTTATGTAAATCTGCTTTGAATTACTTAATACGGTTTGTGAATCGCATATAAAGGCCCATTGTTGTGTAAATCGTTATGAAAACCAAGAAATGCTTACAAATGGGGCACTAACTTATATGATTGAAAGGGTCACAGAGTGACAAAAGTATTTACAGAGAAGTCACTGAAACGTGTAATAAGAGGCCAACATGAAATTGCTGCGCATAATATACAGGCAACACATACTGATAATGAACACAGTGTTGTAATCCATAGCAATCAATCAGGCTTCAATTAACTATAGTCTGATTAGTTAAAACTCCACAGAATACAGTGGTGTCACCTCCTCACCACATTCCGCTGATTGGATAATGAAAGAGCAGCAACATACTGATAACTCATTGGGTTAATGACACTCTTTAGAGTTCTGTGGTGCATCTGCACTACAAATGTTGGTGCTTTGCCCAGATTCATGTGCCTGTTGGAAACTTGTACATGAATTTGGTGCAAGCTCTGCCATTTTTGGAGGCACACTGGGGTCAAGGTGGTTGTACTGGACACAAACAGGCGCTTGTATGGTGGGTGGGCAGAGCCCAATGGAAATACTGTAGATCTAGTTCCCCATCCAGTCTGCTCTCCTGCTGATTGACAGCAGCCAGCAGGCAGTGGGCAAATTCAATAGCCAATAGCAGGCTGGCCATTTACTAGTACCTTGGCACCCCCATCAGGCTCCACTAGCTTGTATTATCACTGGTTGTGAAGAATGCTGTCGGCTATAGCTTCCTTAACAACCAGTGATTGCTGACAGTCAGGGTGTAGTTTGATGGGGGTGCTGAGGTACTAGTTCCCCATCAGGTCCGCTCTACTACTGATTGACGACTGGAAGTGCTATTGACTATGGAATTTGCCCAATACCTGCTGTCAATCAGCAGCAGAGCAGAGCTGATGGGGAACTAGTCCCTTCACATTCTCATCAGGCTCTGCCCACTTAGCCATGTCATTGTTTGCTAAGAGGCTGTTGGCTCTGCACCTTAAGATGTCTTCGCAACCAGTGACTGAACCCTGGCCCTGACCAAAAGCTAAATGTAAGCAAAGGGGAGGGAGATGCAACCCTAACCCTAGCCCCTTTGTTTACATTCAGCTGCCGTCTAGGGAATCTTGCTAGGATGTCAGTGGTCCAATGTGCTAGCAACCAATGAACAGGAACACGGCAAGGGTTGATAAACGTTTTGCCTAGGGTTCTTCTTTAAGTCTGCTCAAGTTTTTTGTCAACTTGTGCCCTGTCAGTGCATGTGCATTGCAGCCCTTTTTTATGCTCCTCAGCTCCATCCAGTGGCCATAATGCAGCATTATATCACAATACATTTGATCTGAAAAGGAAATATATTAAGAACATTAGTTTTTGCTATTATTCAAACAAAACAAATGTTCACATATATTCACAGGGTGAAAGGCCCTGCAGATATCAGGAGATTTGCAAAAAACCCACTATTGGCCATTGAACTGCTGTCTCTTCCAGGCTTAAAAGTTGTCGGCAGCCAATAAATTTATGAAATAATTATTTGAAATATTTAACTGCTTAATCTTAACTGATATAGGATGGCATAAAAAAGGATTATCCCAATGGATACATATATCAGCCCGCCCATTAAAAAGATATGAAGGCCATACCAGCAGAGAAAGTCAAAATCACTAGTTGTATACAATAAAAGATTCCCACACCGTGTTACAATTTGGCCATAAAATCTCTTTTGGATCTACCAAGATATAAGATCCTTTAGATCTACATACAGATAGAAGATCATTTAGAGCTGCAACTATGTAAAGATATAAGATCCTTTAGAGCTGCAACTAGGTAAATATATAAGATCCCTTAGATCTTCGGCTATGTAAAGATATAAGATCCTTTAGAGCTGCAACTAGGTAAAGATATAAGATCCATTAGATCTTCAGCTTTGTATAGATATAAGATCCTTTAGAGCTGCAACTAGGTAAAGATATAAGATCCATTAGATCTTCAGCTATGTAAAGATATAAGATCCTTTAGAGCTGCAACTAGGTAAAGATATAAGATCCATTAGATCTTCAGCTATGTAAAGAGATAAGATCCCTTAGATCTTCAGCCATATAAAGATATAAGATCCTTTAGATCTTCAGCTATGTAAAGATATAAGATATTTTAGATCTTCAGATATTTAAAGCAAGGGCCCGCTCACTGGATACAAATTTAATGGATGTTAAGGTAGGTCCCATATTACATCGTTTTGATAAATCTAAAGAGGATTGCATGACGATTGGTCAGATCGTTACATATATGGCGAACATTAGACAGAAACACCGCCCGACCAGCTGCTGGTTGTTGGCATTTACCCTACTTGGAGCCACCTTTTGATCAGCTCTTTAAGCAGCTCTGCCGAACAGCTCCAAGAAAGCTTCAGTTAACTATACATGAGGCTGTTGTTCAATGTGCCCTATCATTGATATTCCGAGTAAAGAAGTGTAATATCCAAACTCATATTAGAAACCTACTGCTTCTCCAGAAGGTCCGGTATCTCCGTTGCTTCCAGGAGGACCGGAAGGGCCCTGGATAAACATGTAGAAAAGAAAACAAAATCAGTCATCATATAGCACTGCACATTTGTCAACATGCATCTAGCAGAACCATTAGGCTACATTCACACACAGCTTTTATGTGCATCTGGGGATTACATGGGGATCTAGATAGTTTTTTGTCCCTGGATGCAGACAGATTGTGTCTAGGGACAAGCATCTATCCTGATCTGTAGGTAATCGTTTCATATACAATTACATGTGGACAGCCACAGACATGGGGCCACTGGAACCCTTTCATTAACTTGAATGGGCACAACACACACATCTGAATGGACCCATCTGAGGTTCTTGCCGCAAGAATCCCCAGACACAGGTATACACAAGGTCTGAATGATACCATTGAAAATCAATTACATGCACTTACAGTATATACATTTAGAAATGTGCAGTAAGTCCCCTAATTACGAACGGGTTCCGTTCCGAGAGTGCGTTCGTAAGTGCAACAAAGTCAGCCTAGGTACCCAGCTATATCACTGCTGCTTTTACACTTGCTTCCAGACATCCTGGGCTTGAAATAATGATACTGTACTACTGTTCTCCATACAATACTGTACAATAAATAAATACTTGGCTGGATTACTGACTTAATATAATTATACATCCTTTGGCTGGTAAGACATTATCTACCTATCTATACACATACATACTGCATATATTATATATTAATATAATATTTAATTTCAGTTGCTTTCCTGGAGCTTGGCTTTATAATGTCTGACAAATATCAAGCCTGGCATTTGAAACATTAGTACTCAGAACATGTGGTGAGTTAAAGAAAAGTGGACAAAATTGATCACATATCTACGTATATGGAGACAGATCTGCAAGTGCTTCAGAATCTTATATCTTGCATAACAAATAATATATCAAAATCAGAACCTTTAGACCTCACTGTTCACAAATAAGAGGAATCTATAAAATGTGGGTTTGGATATCTGTTTTATATCATAGTCAAATTTAACATCTTGTCCTTGTTGGAATTCGTCCTAACCGAGACAGTGCTGTCATCAATTCAATATCTGTGTTAGCACTGAAAGATAAAGAATGCCAATCTCCAATATACAAGTTGAACTTTTTTTTTACTTGATCATTGCAGAAATAAATCCTATGCATATCACCAAGTCTTGGATATTTAGTTATCGTCAGCCATTTGCACAGTGCAAAAGTTCACCGTTCACAAGCATGTGACAATTTCTCCAATTAGTTTGGTGACAAAACTGGCTCTAATTAGGAACCCCGCCGCTTCTTCCTTCGTTGCAGCTGCTGACAATTTACATGGCCTTGGCTGGAGTAGGAGCCAAGAGAGAGGGGTGACATCATCTCCCTGTCATGTGACAGTGTTCAGGCTCCCCCATACTCTCTCAGGTCACAATCCTCCCCTCCCCCCGATACCCAGAAATACTGGGTATTCTTAAGTGATTCAGCTGAAACATTTTTTGGTATAGATAGATGGGAGTTGGAAAAGGTTAGAACCTCTTGGCAGTATTTTAACTGCAGTCCATATCCTTGCTTGCAACCCCTGCAACCACAAGTACATTGCTGTGAGTTGCATGCAGTCTCCATACATCCCAACAAAGAATTTTCTAGGAGCTGGTGATAAAGCCTCAAAGCATGCGATGAAGAAATATAAGGAGAATCAGCTGCTGAGAGGGGATACAGCAGGTTGCAGCAATGTCATTGTGATCACTGGAACAGGAAGTGAGGGAAAGCTTCCCCCAAAGGGGACATAGTAATAAAAACATTGGGGAGAGTTGTTCCTCGTTGCTGTCTAGGAGGCAGGGGCTCAGGGGGACTGGAAGTGATGGGAAATGTCTCCAATGGGTACCAAAAAAGCAACAACAAAACTCTTTAGTAGAGGGGAGAAGATCAGAATCCCACTATGAGAGAAATAGGGGTTATATAAAGGACAATGACTACCGATGTAAAGGGAGCTTTTTATACAGGGGGTATAAAGGCCCCCTAACTACTGACCACCAAAGGTTGCTTTTTATTGAGGGTCATAAATGGTCACATAACTGCAGACTACCAATCTAAAGGAGGCTCTAAAGTGGAACTTATAAGGCATCCACCACTGAGCACCAGATTAAAGAGGGGAGTTATTCGGGGAAGGGGAGAAGGCTATCACTGACCACCAGCAAAGCGTGAGCATAAAAGAGCACCTAACCGTTGACCAGCAAAGGGTTTAATTTGAGGAGTCATAAAGACCAGCTAACTGCTGATCACCAATATGGGGGGGGGGTTATTATAAAGTATAGGCAGCATCCACCACTGACCACCAAAGTAAAGGTAACTTTTCTTTTGGCAGCACAAAAGTTTGCCACTGACCAACAAAGCAAAATTTGGCGCAAAGAAAGTCTCTGTGCAAATGTTGATCATATTAAACGTTTGCTATGGAGCCTCATAATTAGTAGTGATGCCCCTAAACACAGCAACTAACTAAACATACTTAAATGTGTCTGTAGTTTCCTACTTTTAACTCCTGGGGAGATTAAATACAGCGTAGTTTTGCTTTAAATACCATATTTTCATGCTTGACTGGCATGCAACGGCCGTGCCCCCACTTTGTGTTCAACTGGCGGTCCCCAACATGACGCATCCTTTCATGATATCATTTCAGCTGTGCTACATATGGCTGAACATCAGATGTTTCTTTAATTTACCAAACAGTATCCCATCTACTGCTATGCAGCATATGTGCATGTATCTGACCTTCCTCCACATCCCTTCTCTCTCTAGAGAGTCCAAAAGGAAAAGTGATCTGGTTGCTTTATATTTACAAATTTAATGTGGGGATTTTCCATTCTTGTGTACAACCTCCTCGTCTTGCAGAGTGGATTTTAACAACTGTTTGCGTTGACCTAATGTGGGGGAGGACGCTTAAATTATACTGTTTTTCTCAGGAAACAATAAAGCTACTTTTATCATTCAATGAAGGTCTGTCTGGGAACTTTAAAGGGAAAGCATAGTTTTTTTCAATGTTTTTATATTTATAATGTGTGTATTTATATATATATATACATTATATACACACACACACACATATATATATATATCAATAGTCTTATATATATGTATATATATATATATATACATACATACAATACATACACACACACACACAATTTAAAACATTTGTAAATCCACTTGATGTAAAAGAAAGTGTGTAAATGCTGTTTTTTTGTATTTTTATTTCTGTTATGCAGCCTGATGTGTGTATCATGTCCTGACGATGGGTGCTGCATACTGTAGAAATCCCCCTACGAGTAATGCTGGATAACCCCTACATTGCTCTCCTCCAATCACAGATCACTTTGCATTGTGGGAAATAACAGCACAACTTCTACGAATGGAGGAGAGAAGAGGAAGGGGAGGGCCAGTGAAGTTTTGCAGACTTTTTCACACTGGCCGTGGCTTTGTTAACACCCTGCCGCACCGGAGGATGGCACCCATTACTTCATCGGTAGAAAATGATGCCCTTGTGGCTGCATAAAAAAAATAAAAATTACCTAAACTTCTTTAGCTGAGCCCTGGACTGATCTAAAACAAACATATTCACATATGTCTATTTCAGCTGTATATTTAGCTGTTTGGAGCTTAGCTTCAACATTTTGAATACCTTTCTTCTATGCTTGTAATTATATAAGTACACGGGTAGCTGATTTGCTTATCATATGCACATGCCCTACTTCCTGCAGTGATAACAATGTTCATATAGATTTCTCATTCTATAAAATGGACAAGGCAACTGAAGGCCTTTAAAGGACACCTTCACCTTTAATAACAGTGTACTTTAATAAATATCCCAACCCCCTGAGTGCAGCCTACCTCAGGTAATACTTACCTTGAGCCCCAAACCAACAATCTTTCCTGTGACATGGTCCCAGGTGGCTCCCCTTCATTCTGCCTTGAGCTGCAGTCCCATTCATTCATATGGGTGAACCATAGTCATTGAGAATCCAGTGGTCCCTTGGGGTATGGTTCACCTATAGGAAAGAATGGGGCTGCGGCACACATGCAGAGTATAAAGAGGAGCCAGCTGGGACCATGTCAGAGGAAACATTGTTGGATTGTGGACCAAAGTGAGCAATGTGGGCCTGGAGAATTTATTCAAAAAACACTTGAACAAAGGTGAAGGTGTCCGTTAAGACTTCACCTACAGCACCAGAACAAGTAAAATCTCAATCACGGAAAGGAGCAGAGCCATATTTCCAGGTATCCCTGTTGGAGTTCCTAACAAACAAAAAATCCAGTGAGTGAATCAGCTTGTTTACTCATAATGGAAATGACACTTTTGTGTGGACTAAACCTTTATATTACTTGTAAAAACACAAAAATACAAAGCAGTTTGCCTATACATCAGCTGCAAGAGGGAATGTACATTACAATTTCCTGAAAAAGAGATGTACTTTTAGATGTACTTAATGCCTACATAATGGGTGCTGACATTTGTGACCTAAATTGATCTGTACATACATCTCATTAATATGACAGAGGGAGCAATATCTGCCTGTCCTCTACAACTCATTTCTAGGACACCCTCTAAGGCCCCATTCACACCTGACCGTTTTGTAGCGCGTCCTACGCTCGATGAACGCTCTACAAAACGGTCAAAAAAATAAATAGCATTGTAGTCAATGGTATCGTTCCCACCTGTCCGTATTTCCGCCCGTCCCGAACGCACTACAAAACGGCCCACGCATGAAAAGGTCCCGGAGCGTTTTTTGCTGCGTATTGGTCCGTTTTGTAGGGCGTTTTCCATTTGTATACTGCCAAGTAGCCTTTGGAATCGCGCGACGGTCGCGCGACTTTTTTACCGTGAATCGCGGTAAAAAAAGCGTGACGGTCGCGCGACAGACGCGCATATTACAATACGCATAGGTGTGAATGGGGCCTAATCCTTGCATGGGGCTCACAGTGATCTTGCTAATATTGGTTCATTTTTCGCTTCTCTTACCCAAAGTAATTATTATTGGATTCTGATAAATCAGCTAAACCCACAAAACAGGTAAGCTCACTGCAGTTTGCCAATAAAGGAAAATAACATTCAGACATTATTTTATGTTATCATATATGCAAGACGTTTGGGAGCAACATTATGGTGTAGACTTATTACAATTGAAAAGAAGGTAAATGTCACACTACTTACAGGTTTGCCTTGTTCACCTCTCTCTCCATGACTACCAACTTTCCCCTAAATACATATCAATAAAACACTAAATAAGATATATTTCTGACACCATTGTGATTAACAGAAATCATTCAAATTGCATAATTCTTTTATATGTTATGACATTTATTCTGTTGCATGTGAAGCTGCATCACCGTGTTATAGAACACTAACATACTTCACTAAAGGGTGAAGAGTTTGGAGAAGGCAGGAGAAGTGAACAATCTAGGACAATTTTTCCAAATCAGCTACTGTATGTTTTCCTAGCCTTCTAGTATGTTACTAGTATGTTTTCACTTCTCCTGCCTTCTCCAAACTCTTCACCCTTTTGTAAATAACCCTGTAAATGAAAATAGGAATACATTTTCAAGCTTCTGTTACTGAGCTATCAGCAGTGAAAACTAAACAGCTTTGCACCTTTTATTTAAAGGCATAGTGCACCTTTAAAAAAAAAGAAAATGATTGCCAGCATGATAATAAAAGAAAAAAATTGCATTTATGATTTTTTGGGCATTGGAGCCTGCAAAACATTGCATCAGCAATCAGCAGATCACAATGCTACGGCTCCTGCAGACCCTTGCTTCCAGTCCCTGTACATACCAAGGTACAGACTGTCAGTTACAGGCTAGGAGGATGTGCCAATGGACTACAAGTGTGCTGACAAGAGAAAGATGGGTCCCTTCATTCACAGATCCTGTGAATAGATGACGCGGCTGTTTAGGTAAAGCCACGCCAAACTGAAAAGATGCTGCAAGGAGCACATCCCCAGGATTAAGGTAGGTGGGGCAGGAGGGGTGTTCTGGATCTGACCATGTTCCATTCTATACCCTGAATATGGGTGTAATATGAAACGTAATCAGAAAGATGGAGATACTCTTTATGTCTCATATAATTAGACATAGTCAAGAGGTGGATCCAATTAAGGTTAGCCATAGATGGTCTGATAATTATAAGCGATGCTCCCCAAATCCAGCATCACTTGTGGTTATCTGCCTGTTTCTTAACTGCAAGAGGGTGATAACGAGTGCCTCAGATACCTAGAGCAGCTTATTACTGCTCAAGGTGATTTTCCAACTCTTGTAAGGATCCAATCATCTATGGCAAGTCTTAAAAGAGAACTATGGGGTAAGTGTTTTTCCCCACAGTTCTGTTTAGGGTCACGGTAGGACATATACTAACCTCCTCCCGTGACCCAAAGCTCAGTATATAGCAGGCTATTGCCTGCTATATACTGAGAGCGTCGCAGCCAGGATGGATTCCGACAATACTGTCTGGATCCACCCAGTTGCATGAATGATAGCTGGCTCTGCCTATCTAGAGGCAGAGACAGCTGTGCACGCCCCCTCCCCCCGTTTGTTCCCCCACTCAGCGCTGGAGAATTGGAGAGGGGGAATCCGTGCGGGGAGCAGTGACTGACAGTCACCGCTCTTTGCAGGAGATTATTGGAAAGTGACCGAGCGACGATGTGTGTTTGCTCACTTCCTGATCTATAGAGCCGATCTATAGTCACCAGTACAGGAGGTGAGGTGAAATGTTAGTAGTGGAAATTTACACAACAATAAAAACTGGAGTTACGTGTCCTCTTAAAAGAGTGTGAACTAACTTGGATGTTTGGATTTTTAGATTTGCTCAACACCCAGGCTAGAGACTATATCTCTCTACCAGGTTTTAATGTTAACACTGGCGTGGAACATTTAAATGTACTCACTATACGACCAGGCAGTCCTTTTTTGCCAGGATCACCGCTTTCACCCTGGAGGAAGAAAAATTAATAAGCAGAGATTAATCACACACTAATGACAGTGGACAGCTCAGAGAATCTCACATTAAACTCCCTTACCTTCATCCCTGCAAGGCCCTCTTCTCCTAGTGGACCGTCAGGACCCCGTGGACCCTACATAAAAAATATTATTAAAATTTCAAGCAGTTTATAAAATCATCCCCAATTAGGGAGCTTCCAGTGGTCCAAATGCAATGGTCTGAACAAACTAAAATATATCAGATAATCTACACATTTAAGAGCATAACTAGTCACAATAGACCATACAACTGCAATAGGGCCCTGTGCTGTCTGGTTACAAAGTGTTTTAGGCAGATGGTAATAGCATTTAGCAAATACATTTGGATATATTTCATGTATATAGATAAGACACCTATACATGACTAGCATGAAAGTTAGTTGGGGAATGAAACATTTCAGATCCCAGCATGATTTAGAAATTTAAAAAAAAGCAGATCTGGCTGATGTACATTATCTTTGGCATTGTCCCCTGCAAACTCACAGCTCAGAGATCCAATGCTTCTTCTCTTCCAGGCTGAATGACATCCAATGTCATTCAAACCTACACCTGTGGCCCAGTGTGTCATTTCTGTGTTTTTGCCTGCAATTGTTTAATCTGTTGACAAGGTATCTTTAAGGTACTGTTAGGAGGGAAATATGGGGCTATCATTCCTGAACTACTAGTTGCCTGCTGCCTATGCTGACTCATTGGCACCAAAAGTTTCTAAACCATGGCCCAGATCAAACATACAGGTCAGGAAAATCATAGTAAAGTCAAAAGTCCTTATTTTCCTACTATATTTCAATAAGTGGCAATTGAATCAAGAGGGTCAGCACAACAGCCAGGTCACTATCATTTTCAGAAGGAGAGCTTTCCAATGGTAGCCCCCATATTTTTCTCATGAAAGCTTTCCTTTCAGTTCAAACATGTGCTTTAAGCAAAACATCTGTCATGTAGTATCAGACATTCAAGTTTGTATAGGACAAACTTTTTTTTAGCTCTAGATCCAGTAGGGAAGGGTTAAATCCCCTGTCAGTTTATTTTTGCTGTCTGTGTTCTGTTGGGGAGATTTCCCTTCACTTCCTGTGCTGCAGATGCACAAAAAAGTAAGAGAAAATCACTGAAAAGTGAGGATAATTTGCCCCTTAGACAACTGTCAACGAAACAGGTGTCCCCATTGGATAATTTACACTCAACCCTTGTTATGGTGACAAAAGTTTGCATTTCCGCCACTTTCTGCCTCTGGAAACATTTACAAGGACAAATAAGAGAGGGTAAATCTGCCCAGCATGAACAACAACAGCAACTCCAAAAAAATTAAACTGGACAAAACCAAGTATCGCTGAAAAATATATTGGTTTTAGTTAATTTTCTATTCCTTTTTCTCTTACAAAATTTACAAATAACATTTAATACATGACACAGCATTCTCCGTGAACTATGAATACCTTCCCCTTGAAGTCTAAAGCACTGTTCTAGTCCAAATATGACTTGGACACGCATGTGTAGAAGTCGTGGTATTCTATCTATCTATCTATCTATCTATCTATCTATCTATCTATCTATCTATCTATCTATCTATCTATCTATCTATCTGTCTATCTATCTGTCTATCTATCTGTCTATCTATCTATCTAGTTATTTTAAATCTCAACTGTAGCAGAATCTTTTACCGTGCAAGATTTCAATCAGTGCAAAACTATAATTTGATGAAGTATAAGCAATGCCCGCTCTTGACTAGCTCAAAGTCTATCTTAGCCAAGCCAAAATATACTTATCCTTTTTTGCCTCCTTCCCTGACCTAACCTACTCCAACTCCCCTCTTCCATGACTCTCCTTTGATGTCTTACCCAAGGTCTATCACCCCTGCTCATTTCAAGTATTTATTGCTATTGATGTGTCTTTCCAATGACATCTGGATCAGATGCACTGTAAGCACATCTCACAGTTTAGACGAGGTTATTTCTAATTTTATAGCTCATAAGTGTTTCATTTGTCTTCAGAGATAGTTGGGGAATGAAACATTTCAGATCCCAGCATGATTTAGAAATTTAAAAAAAAGCAGATCTGGCTGATGTACATTATCTTTGGCATTGTCCCCTGCAAACTCACAGCTCAGAGATCCAATGCTTCTTCTCTTCCAGGCTGAATGACATCCAATGTCATTCAAACCTACACCTGTGGCCCAGTGTGTCATTTCTGTGTTTTTGCCTGCAATTGTTTAATCTGTTGACAAGGTATCTTTAAGGTACTGTTAGGAGGGAAATATGGGGCTATCATTCCTGAACTACTAGTTGCCTGCTGCCTATGCTGACTCATTGGCACCAAAAGTTTCTAAACCATGGCCCAGATCAAACATACAGGTCAGGAAAATCATAGTAAAGTCAAAAGTCCTTATTTTCCTACTATATTTCAATAAGTGGCAATTGAATCAAGAGGGTCAGCACAACAGCCAGGTCACTATCATTTTCAGAAGGAGAGCTTTCCAATGGTAGCCCCCATATTTTTCTCATGAAAGCTTTCCTTTCAGTTCAAACATGTGCTTTAAGCAAAACATCTGTCATGTAGTATCAGACATTCAAGTTTGTATAGGACAAACTTTTTTTTAGCTCTAGATCCAGTAGGGAAGGGTTAAATCCCCTGTCAGTTTATTTTTGCTGTCTGTGTTCTGTTGGGGAGATTTCCCTTCACTTCCTGTGCTGCAGATGCACAAAAAAGTAAGAGAAAATCACTGAAAAGTGAGGATAATTTGCCCCTTAGACAACTGTCAACGAAACAGGTGTCCCCATTGGATAATTTACACTCAACCCTTGTTATGGTGACAAAAGTTTGCATTTCCGCCACTTTCTGCCTCTGGAAACATTTACAAGGACAAATAAGAGAGGGTAAATCTGCCCAGCATGAACAACAACAGCAACTCCAAAAAAATTAAACTGGACAAAACCAAGTATCGCTGAAAAATATATTGGTTTTAGTTAATTTTCTATTCCTTTTTCTCTTACAAAATTTACAAATAACATTTAATACATGACACAGCATTCTCCGTGAACTATGAATACCTTCCCCTTGAAGTCTAAAGCACTGTTCTAGTCCAAATATGACTTGGACACGCATGTGTAGAAGTCGTGGTATTCTATCTATCTATCTATCTATCTATCTATCTATCTATCTATCTATCTATCTATCTATCTATCTATCTATCTATCTATCTATCTGTCTATCTATCTGTCTATCTATCTGTCTATCTATCTGTCTATCTATCTATCTAGTTATTTTAAATCTCAACTGTAGCAGAATCTTTTACCGTGCAAGATTTCAATCAGTGCAAAACTATAATTTGATGAAGTATAAGCAATGCCCGCTCTTGACTAGCTCAAAGTCTATCTTAGCCAAGCCAAAATATACTTATCCTTTTTTGCCTCCTTCCCTGACCTAACCTACTCCAACTCCCCTCTTCCATGACTCTCCTTTGATGTCTTACCCAAGGTCTATCACCCCTGCTCATTTCAAGTATTTATTGCTATTGATGTGTCTTTCCAATGACATCTGGATCAGATGCACTGTAAGCACATCTCACAGTTTAGACGAGGTTATTTCTAATTTTATAGCTCATAAGTGTTTCATTTGTCTTCAGAGAAGGTCATTTCATTAGTGTGTACTCTGGGTCTAATTAGCTCTTTTTCTCTGACTCTGAGCATTTTCATAAATAAATACATCGGCATTTCAATTACCGCTAGGCCACCACTAACTATGTTTGTTGGGTACAAATAGTTTACAGCTGACTTCTAAATCATGTTTGGTTATAGGAATAGGCACAGAAAAAATGGGAAGATTATACAAAAAGGAGGCCATGGCCCATAACTAGATCATCACAAGAAAAACTAATAGTCTTCTGTGATGTTTTGTGTCATTCCATCGAAGGTGCCTGTCTGTGTGGCAATTGTTCCTCAACATGCTTTGTGGTGAAAATCAAAAACATCCTTTAGATTGAGGAATGGTTCATAAAGAATTTGCTAGCCATCCTTGCCTTATACTGACCCATGTGCAAGCTCTGCATTTACTGTTTTAATTTTTTTACAGAATGGATTTGTCAGACTTATGCCCAACCTGAAGAACCAAGGCACGTATTCTTGTCCGAGTCATCACCATGAATGTTCCCAGCTTGGGTGTCCCTACTGATAGTTGTGTTAATTGTGGTAGAGCTCTCAGAATCATCTGACCATTACAGTTACACAATTTATCCTTCAACTGAAGGATAAATTTGCTCAGGAGGGGACTTTAATAAAACAGATCTGAACACAGTGCGCAAGGTATTCTTAAAGAAAACTGGATGCGCCAGCAACCTGAATTTCAGTGTCAGGTAAGGCTTTCAGCTTGACATCCCTCACTGGGAAGTGTCATATGATGTACCCACGTAGAGCGCACAACATTATTTGAATGCAAGATTTATTATTCCCAAATCCTGAGGAAAGGTTTATGAAATCTCTGGGCTCTGCCAAGTTATGTAGTGTAATAGACATGGTGTATTCAGTGGAGATGAATATCCATCCTCTTAGTTCTCTAACACAGAAATAAATACAACTCAAAACTTCTAAGATCACTGTACTTACTCTTTGACCATTTGGACCTTGTATTCCTGGTGATCCTCTCTGTCCAGCAGGACCCTGTAATAAGATGATAATTGTTTTTGCCTTGTTACAAATATAAGACCCAAATAAGGTTCTACCTTTTCAGCAACAATTAAAGCTAATTGGCTGCTTAAGGTTACTGCACAGTCACTACAAAATGCTGTATGGTACTGAATAACTGTGGGTGTTGTGGTATGTATCTTTATGATAATGAATCCATGGACTCAGATCAACGTACTGTAGCAACAGTCATGATGTGCTAGTTTTCACTTACTAGTAATCCTGGTGGACCAATTGGTCCAGGTGTTCCTGGAGGTCCAGGATAGCCCTGAAAATAAAATATAATTAATAAAAAAAATTCATAAAACCAACATAATATCAGCAAAATCAAGTTATGAAGACAGTAAACTATTTGAAAAATCATTTACTATAAAACAATATGGGTTTGGTTGCAGGCAGCCAGGTTGTGCATGGTTACCAGAAAACTAGTGGGTGTGGGAAGGCAGTATATGGGTCTAGACAGGCAGTCTGTGTTTGGTTGCAGGCGGATTGTTTGGGAGGAGGAAGCCAGGCTCTATTTTGGTCCACCAGGCAGACACAAAGGCTGGGTTTTCTTGCAGGCAGGTTGTTTAGGTACAGGGCAGGCTCTATTTGGGTGCAGCTAAACAGGCTTGTGTTATGTTGAAGGCAGGTTGTTTGGGTGCAAAAAGACAGGTTCTATTTGGGTACAGCCAGACAGACTGTAATCAGCTTCTACGAATAAGTTGGGATCTATGTGTGTTTGGATGCTGGAAGGTAGACTATGCTTGGGTATAGGCAGACATGCTGTATGGATGCAGGAAGGTAGGTTGTTTATGGATGTCAGAAGTCTATATTTGGGTACAGACAGGGTGTGTTTGGGTGCTGACAGTACCAATAACAGTTTGAATGAACTGAAGTAGCCGGGGCAGAGTGTACATAGTTGTGGCAAACCACATGTAGGTGAAGCCTATAGGCACTCTGGGAAATCACAGATACTTAGTTCCAGCAGGCCAGATTCCGCTGTTTTTCCACATTCCTCAAGCTGTATATGTCCTGCGGCAACTTGAAAAGATGTTAAATTACATTTCCATGCAATAAGTCTTGTAATGTTACCCTGGTGGTCAATCCAACTGCTTAAAGCATAAGTTATAATGATGGAAAATAATTTTGCTCTTGAATAGCTCAGCAGAAAAGTCGGAAAATCTGCAAGTTCCATTGAAACCACAAAACAATCATTACATAAGTTTCTGGTACCAGTTTCACAATGAGAGTGCTTTGCCAGAGGAAATGTCTTCCTTCTGCTGCACAGAGGAAACACTAATATTGTGCTGAGTTCAGAACACAGTCAGACTGCTATCCTGAGCTAAATGTGGTTTATTGCCTGGATTTTATCTTTATCCTTTGCACATCACATCCTTTACTTGAGCTCATATTTTTCTTATGTAAACATACAGGTCAAAAAAAGACTCCACTAAATGGAACAGTAGTTGTCAAATTGGCGTTGCGTAAGGGCCATGTGGGACTTGCGATCCTGTCGCTGGTAAAAATATACCAATAACAGGATCGTTATAAAGGGCAAAAAATACTCACCTGCTTTCATTGTGTCACACCCTTACTGACAGGAACACTGCAAAGTGTCATTCACCAGTGACAGAGTGGCACCTTGCTCATCCAGTCAACATATCTGTTCGCAGCTCAGCTACCCCATGCTCTCCCTCCCAGCAGTGACTCAGCAGCCTTACAACCTTCTAATCTCTAATATACTGTAAATACAGAGTAGCTGCTTTGGAAGGGATAACAGAATTACATAATCTGCTTATAGAGTCCACTAGAATTTGCTTCTTCTGTGAAATTTGAGGATCAATTGCTCCATAATGCCTGCAGTTATAGAGGACAATGAGGGCTTGTTTGAATGCTTACTTACTACTTGTTAAAGCAGACTTGCTCTTCACTGTGCAGAAGTACAATTGTCCAGGATTTGGTGTTCTCAGCTTTTCTAGGATCTGCCAAGAAAGCCCAGTGATGTCACCCTGGCCTAGTTGAGCCAGGTGGATGATAAGGTAAGTATTATTAAGATTGTTATGCCTTTTACTCAGTGCTTTTTAAACAAGGAAGGTGGGAGCCTCCAACATAAGTATAAATACTCTTATAAATACGCAGGCAATTTTCCACCTGGCTCTTTTGTCAAGAGTTAATTTGTCAAGTCAGGTGGTGCCAGCAGGGCCACCTACAGATCAAATTTTGGTCTAATTGCAGCAGGAAATGGCTGACATTTGATCTATGTATAGCCAGCTTTACACTTTATGGACACGTTTATTTTAAAGCAGAAGTATTGGGAGAGTAAAATGTACTCTTCCCAATACTTAGAGCCGGCGTGTCATACTACAGCTGTCACATGCAGGCTCTATAGGTCGAACGTTGATCGATCATGAACTGCTGATTGCTCAGCTCACGGTCTTCTCCCTGCCATTCGCCACTCCCCGCAGGGACTCCCTCCTCCCCTCTTTGTTCCTCCAGAGGGACAGACAGGGAAGGGGGTGGGCACAGCTGGTCCTGGCTCTACAGAGGCAGCGCCAGCTGTCAATCAGGAAGTGGGGTGGATAACGCCAATCATGTCAGGATCTTTCCTGGCTGCAGTGAGGCTTTGCGCTGTCAGCAAATAGTGGGCACAACCCCGCTAGATGCTCACTTTGGGTCACAGGAGTACATTAGTAAATGTACTCTTTTGATCCAAAAGAGGACTAAAGCCAAAAGAAATGACTTGGCTTTTGTTGCCTTTGAAATAAACAAAATGTCGGCTGGGTGTCTACTAAAAGACAACACAAATGCACAACTATGGCATCCTATCTAGAAATAATGTCTCCCTAAGAATCACAGAATCAGAGTGAACAGACTGATCACTCATCAATGTGCTGCTGCTCCTTCCTCGTTCAATCAGCAGGAATTGCCTGTGCTGTCTTACAGGGATAACTGTATCATAATACAGGCTGATCACAATTACAAATTCTTTGGCAGGTTAAACAGTTCACATTTGGATTTCAACTGTTCAGCTTTACATTGTTTTTAATACTTTATACTTACAGGTGATCCCTTTTCACCAGAAGGCCCTTCAGGTCCAGGATTTCCCCGTTCTCCCTGTAAATTAGAGCAAGAGCTTAGTCTTTTACTACCACAGTACATATGTATTATTTTACAGAAGGAAAAAGGAAGCAAATTTATGAGGGAAAAATTGCATTTTAATGACAGTACATTAATGGGATCATTTTCTGACAGCTCTTCGAAGGTTGAACAAACTTGTGGTTATGTAATATGAAGCAAAAAGGAATCTTTTGCCAATTAAATCAGATAGAACAAAGACGACTCGATCTGTCTTTTACTCAAACCATGCATGTGCTCCCTCAGGTCAGATGTGGATAAATCCTACAATTAATGCAGGAGCCACTCAGTTTAATTAGCACACACTGAAGCTTGGATCCAAAATCCCTGCATGTGTTAATGGCAGCTAGAGACACAGAATACATTAAAGTGGATCTCCACCTTTACCCCCTTTAACTAAAAATCACATTAGCATAAAGTTTGGCGTGCTGATATGAAATCCTCTTACATTCATTAGTTAAACAAACATTTTTTTGTTTTTTCACTTCCTGGTTGGGTGAGGCACTGGTGATGTAGCCCAAGCCTCACAAATGCATCCTGGGAAGGTTACATCACCAGTGCCTTCTGGGAAATCTCATCTGTAAACTTCAAAATCTCACAAGATCTTGGGGAATAGGCATTTTCTTCCCCCTCAGAGGATGCGCACTGTCATGTGTTCCAGGAGGCAGTGTTAATTGTGACAGCAAATTTCGATTTAGTTTTAGTCATAGTCTTTTGACTAAAATGCCATTTCGTTTTAGTCATATTTCAGTCATCTGAATTGTTTTAGTTTTACTCGACTAAATATCATAAGATTTTAGTCGACTAAATCTACAGTAGAATAAGTCTACTAAAATCTAGTGGGTTTAGTGAAAGAGTAATTTAGGATTTTCCCTAGAATTTCCAATCTCATTATATATTCTTCTGGAGTAAACATCTGTTAACCTGTTATTCCTTTTGTTATTAATGTTTAAATGTGCAATACAAACACATATATATAACATGTCTTTATTTATGTTAAAATTAGATTATACCAAGTCTTCCAAAGAAACAAAAATATTGAGTATTTTCAACAAAGGACCAGTAATTAGATATGCATTGATTATAACTTGCATATGACATTCTTCATTCTTTCAAGCAGAAGTGCAACTCTAAAATATATCAAAATGGAAAACTATATTGGCTGTAATGCCATTGCACATATTACCTATTAGCTGTTCATTCAGGATGGAACCAGAACGGGAGATTTATTCTGATTGGATCTCTTCCCAAATTGTCTCTCCCTAACATTTCGGTCTAGTTTTAGTCAGTCAACTAAAATGTCCCTATATTTTCGTTATAGCTTTGGCCATCATAACTTAGTTTTTATTTCGTTTTAGTCAGTAGAAATGTGTTGTTGATGAAAACTATGATGAAACTTATTAGTCGACGAAATGAAAAGAAAACTATGGGGTAAACTTTTTATCCCATAGTTCTCGTTAGGGTCACGGGAGAACATATACTAACCTCCTCCCTTAGCCTAAAGCTCAGTATATAGCGAGCTACAGCTCGCTATATAATCGGAGCGCCGCAGCCGGGACGGATCTTGACAATACTGTCGAGATTCATCCCGCTGGCTGACAGCGGGCTCTGCCTTTCTAGAAGCAGAGCTAGCTGTGCCTGCCCGCTCCTCGTCTGTTCCTCCAGTCAACGCTGGAGGATCGTAGCAGGGAGGGGAGGGCAATCCCTGTGGGGAGCATGACTGATAGTCACTGCTCTCTGCAGGGAGATGATCTGAAAGTCAGCGAGCGACGGTATGTGTTCGCTCACTCCCTGATCAATACAGTTTTCTTGTCACACGTCGGCTCTAACTTGAGGATGAGTGAAAATCACTCACCTCATAGTTCTCCTTTAACACTGCCTAGAGGCGGACCAAAAGTTCCAGGCCCCAGGTACATACAGTACCCCATATAGTGAATAGACATATTCTGTAAATGTTGACTTTTGTGATCCCTTCTCCCTCACCGCTCTGTACCTCAGCAGCACTTCCTGCCCAAGGTCCGTACCCCATATAGCATACAGATATATTTCCTGAATGTAGACTTTCGTACGCTACACGCAGGTTTAAATGAGAAGCAGGGAAGGCAAAATATAATCAGATTAAACTTCAGCTATAAATCTTACATGAGATTTTATTAATTGGGTTTAAAATGACTTCAAGTCCTTAACATTCCCAGTATGTGGCCATTTGAAATATAAAGTGCTTAGTGAATATCTCGTCAAATTATTAATCCATTTTGATCACAGCATCCCACAGCAACCCCAGTGCATATCTGGATTCATATTAATCACACACTTTTTCCATACGTTACATAACTATGTTCACTTAACAACAATTTATGGCCTAAAGATATAATAGTTTTTGAGACATCACTAGGAATTTCAGTATAAACAGTTTCAGTCTCTGTCGGCTTGCTGCAGATGAATCTCAACCTGAACACACAGCAGAAGATGCAGTAAATCATGAAAAGTCTCTTCAAAGTCTTCTTTCAGTGGAACATCATTAATAGCGCAGGTTTCCAAATTATTATTGCATTCAGCCACATCATTTCGGACAATTTCGTACAGATGTGTTTGATATAACTCTAAACCACAGACACTGACTTTACAGATTTAGCCTGGTAAAAAAACTAAATAACAACCAATGGCTTCTATGTTGTTCTTCCTATTTGCCCAACCCTTTGCTATCAAGGCTTCTGTGTATCTAAAGCCAAAACATTTTATTAGTTTTGACAGAGTGGGTAAGGGTAAGAATCTATGTCAGGTTTTGCTAGATGTCTAGATGGGAGGTGCTGGATCTGGGATTGCTCCTAAATAGGGCTTACAAAGTGAAGTTTCTTGCTAAAAGGAGTATCATGTCTCCTGTTAGGCTGATCTCAAGCACGGGAAAGTCTGCTTGGGCATCTTGGTAAAAGTCTAGGAAAAGTAGATGAATAAGCACATCAAGCAAAAGGGTCTAGAGATGGAAAGTATTGATTCCATCATCAACAAGCCAACGTGTTTCACGAGCCAGGCTATACTCTCTTCATTAGGGCTTATAATGCTGAGGTCAAGGGAAAGGACATCATTAGTCTTCAAGTTGTGTCTGATACCTATCCTCCTCCCCCTTGCACTCTGTGGTTCCTCCCAATAGGCTTGATGTCACTACAAGACACAGTAAAAGTAAGGGCTGGTGGATTAAACCACTGAAGCAACGGAGAACAAGGAAATCACCCCTCCTAGAAGTGTCAGATTCAGAATATTGTTCAGGCTGCAGTTTCAATATGCAGAGGTAAGCCACGTGGGTGGCAGATGACGTATTTACTATCTTATTTGCAAGGGAACCTCTTTTTGGAATTTTAATCTTAGCAACAGTTGCATTTTAACACATTAAAGCACTTGGTGACAACTTACAAGGGGGCCTAAACTACGCCCGTTGACATCAGCAAAGGGATGCATATAATGTTCAGCATATGTAATGCTACGGAAGACTTTCAGACACTGCTGGCATACTAGAGAAAATGATGGTGAGAGACATGCTACAGGTTTCGCTGGGGACATGCTACAGACATTAAAAGACTGGGAACAAGTAAATGACTAAAAGACGTCACTGCTTTTATCTTTTTACAGATCAGTGCTCCCACTGCAGACTGCTGGGGTCCAATGCCAATGGACCACATGGGGACTTTTTGCCACACATTGGGCACCAAGGTGTTAAAGCTGATGTGACATTACACATATACATACTGTATACTTTAAACCTCTTAATGAACTTTCCCTGTGTATGTTTCCATCCACCACCTTTCCTATAAGGCCTCATGAAAGGTGTCACTCTCTTGTAGCTGTCCTCCCCAGTTTTTTGCTTCACATTATAGAGATTTCACTGGGGGAGTGTTGTAGCATGATACGGCTTTGTAAGGAAAGCAGCAGGACTGCCAACAATCACAAAAACCTCTGGAATATCAGCTTTGTGTTAAGCTGACCCCTAATTCCAATTCAGTGGCTATTGAAATTGCTTTTATTTATTGAATATGACAAATAGTCCATCCATTAGTCAGCCAACATTACATCATGTATTAGGCAATACACCAGTAAATTAAATCAAACAGTTGTCTTTACAGACAGAAATAACTTTAGTTAACATTGTCTTTACATCATTTTAATTTTAGGTGACGCTTTCCCTGTACCTTTTCTCCAGGTTCCCCAGGTGGCCCGACTTCTCCCGGCAAACCTTCTGGCCCCTGAAAAACAAATTCCAGTTATTCTTCCAACAGAAGCCGTTTTATTTCACAGGAAAAGGAGCAGACAAAATAAACGTTTCGTCACAATCCAGATCGATGTTTAACAATGTGCAAGCTTTAAGACAAAGAAAGAAACCAGATTTATTTTATCTAAACCTTGTCCAAACCTAGATCCTCAGCAAATCCCTAATTAAAATTGTACAATCTGTTACTCCGAGCTCGCTCGGGGATGCAGCTCTGTGCCTGTATTACAGCTAAAAGCCACTAAAACACTGATGTATAGCGTACCTTTATTCTTAAAGAGACACACACAAAATATCAAACATAAACACTTTGTATGTCTTCATACATTTTGTTTAGCTACAGTATACACTCAGGTGGGGGCTCCAGAAACCTCAACACGCATTTCCTTCTATCAGAGGCTCAAGTACCACTGGGTGTTACAATCAAGATACAGTAGTGAAAATGGCCATTTTTTTTATTTACAGACACGAACTCCTGTGTATCCAATAATGGGTATCAAATCACCAAATATAAAAGCAGGAGGTGGACTAAAGACATAGCAAAGTGAAACAGCATAAAATAGGGAGGGGGTTTGGGAAAGTCAACTTTTCCATTCCCTAAGCATGTAAACATAGTGGCACCTTTATAATCTGTTCCAATGACACTCCTTCTTTCTCCTGCCTAAAAAGACAGAACTTTGCTGTCAAAAGCTGATCCCTCATCTCCAACACTAACCACTACCTCTAGACACTAATGTATGGAAACAGTGGCACATAAGAGACAAGGGAGGGGAAGAGTTGTCTTTCATATACACTACTATGCAAAATGACAGCACCAAGCAGCAGAATAATTGGGTCTCTGAAGACAGACTGAGCAGAATTTTTGTACACTGATTATGCATCAGTAATATCTTCATAGGCTAAATAGCTCTTATTTGGCAGAAGTTTCAATAAGCACAAGAAAAGGACTCCAGTCATATACACACCCCCCACTATTCCGAACACTACTTTAACACTTCTTTAAAAAAAAATTCCATGATGGCTCAGACCAGACCTCCAATTCAAAACTTCTGGAAGACCCTCTACCCGAACAACCGGGTATTCTTCATCAATAGCATCAGCTATCAGAGAGTAATCCTTTCCCTCACACTCTCTAGACTAACAATTAATGTGATCCTTTGCTTCACTTTCTCAGGACTAAGTAGGCAAGAGCAAGGTTCCTATTCAAGGTGACTAATTGAGATGGTTGGCTCTAATGTCATGGCAGATATCTAAACTCAGTGCAAATTACACCAGTAGTGTGGTAGAAGTGACTGAGAAACAGATTTGAATTTGGTAAAAAGACCAGGTGGTTCACTTTACACAATAGCATATTTGTATAAAATTGTAAGTTATTTTAGCAGGGGTAAAATCAAAGTGGATGAACCAAGTCCTCAATTTCACATAGGAGAGTTGAACAGCAAATGAAAAAGGCATTTCAATAAATGTTGATCACATATGTTTTATGTTTGGGAATATACAGCCACTGTGTTACAGGGCAATTACAATGTCCACTTTATCAGGGATGTTTGTATAGGACCAGCAAACACCAAAAATTCCCCAGCACACTCTTATATTTGCAAATACATGTGAAACCACATTGCTACTTTTAGGCACCTTGGTACCATATTGCTTCACATGTATTTGCAAATATGCAACAAAAACCTCTGTTTTTAACCTGAAATGTTGAAACAGCTTTACTAGGCTTCTGATGTGTTGCTGTTCCTTTAAGGAGCAGAGGGCTACTTCCAAGACATTCTTGCTCTCAGTTAATTTAGTTTTATATATACTGTTCTGTATATGTCCCAAGTTGGGGCTCAGGTAGTTTAGAATCAGGGGCCACACATTCTCAGAGCTGCCACAGCGTCCCAGGTTGATAAGAGCTCTTAGCAACATGTGGCTCGGTCTGGCTTCCCAGCCAGCTTGCTCCCCCTCGATCTGCAACCTCAGGTGGCGGTTAAGGTAGGGATAGCCCTGCCTCCCATGCTGGGTAATTTTGTTATTGTTTTGTGTTGATTTTGCCTTGCCCATGTGCACCTTTATTTTGCTATTTTTAAATTAGGCTGAGCGTTTGTCTTTTTTGCTTTGTTGAATGGAAGAGGTGTCGGTGTTAATAGGTACACTGACTAAACACTGTCATGAACCCAAGGGGCCATTTAAAATGCACTTGTGCCCAGACTATGGACATATGGAAATATTTACATATTCTTAAAAAAAACTGTAAAAGAGCTTTAAATCAAGCCCTCGCTCACCTCTCTAACTGCTTTTAATGTGAAGTTATTCATTTTCAGGAATCAGAGATCTTGCTGCACTCCTTACCGAGACATCTAAGGACCCGTAGAGACGGGTGGGTGCTTGTAGTGACCACGGATGGCACCGTGGGAAACTCAAGTAAAGAAATAACGTCACCAGCACTCGAAAAGATCGTTTAGCAATAGTACATTTATTGGCACATCGCCATTCAATGCAAGCGCTTTCGGGGCCTCAAGGGATCTTCACAGTTGGATGTCTATTTAAGGTGTATGATCTTTCAGTGTTTTGTCATTTTGGGCCTGATGAAGGGGACCCCTTGAGGCACCGAAAGCGCTTGCATTGAATGGCTATGTGCCAATAAATGGACTATTGCTAAATTATCTTTTGGAGTGCTGGTGACGTTATTTCTTTACTTGTTATTCATTTTCATTCTCCTTCAAGAAAAAAATGCCTCAAACGTCACTTACCCTCTTCATGCTTCAGTGCTGTACCTAGATTTTTACTCTATTCATGGCTGTAGGTTAGGCAGACCAACACTAACATAATTCTGCCCATTTCAGGCTTGTAGCTGACACACCACTTGGGGGGGTGCCTCATCACACAGGCTAGGCTCCAGGACTGAGTGGCACTCACACGCCATTATGCGAGCGGCGCTCACTCCATGGGCAATGCCTGCCCCCTGCCACGGAAGACGCTCCGGTGATGTCACCAGACCAGCTTGGAAATACAGCCAAAAAGTATATATAGGGATATTTTGAAAATATTCCTGGGAGCGGGGGGCAAGGAAGTTAGGAGAAGTTCACCTATAGTTGAATTTCCGCTTTATATTTCTTCACAATGCTTATAGATACATAGGTGAATGTGGGATTGTTTTAAAGTGTGTTTACTGCTTGTTCAGAATATGCAAATACTTAAGTTGACATGATTTAGACACAGGAGCACTTTAAGTATATTAAAGAGTTAAATTGGCAAGTTAAAGATGTCAGAAAGTCAGTAGCAGTGACAGAAGAATTTGGCCACAGTTTTATAGAACCAACATCCCTAACTAAGGGGGCACTGTAATTGTCCTGTAGGGTGTCGGCTTAATATTCTCACAAATAAATAAAATAACTGCTTTCAAGATCATGGGGGGACTGGGCTAGCAGCCAGGAGGGATGGAGGTTCGGGTGAGTATATCTTTTTTATTTTACACTCTAGACCAAAACTAGCACTTAACCTTTGCAGTGCAGGGGTATCCCCACTGCATGGGTTACATTTTTATCTTCCCAGATCCTCTTTAAGGGCTAACTTCATGTACTTTGACTGCATTTCAATTTGGAGTGAACACAGAGCAATTTCAACCAGTTTTATACCATTAAAACAAATTTGGGTTGAAGTGAGGTTACTGCAGTCACTTGAAAAAAAAAAAAAAGTTAAAGGTATAAGAGATTGATTTATATTTAGGAACCTAAACATACAAAAAATGCTTTGCCTGGATTTAGAGAGGAAATAAGAACGCAGTATAAATGTTTTAAGTAGGAAATGTGACCACTTCATTAGAATTCAGTAAGAATTGCACAGAAACATGCTACTTGGCACTTCTGTACTTTTGTGATATAAGAATCCAGCACAGTCCATGAGTCACAGCTTCATCCCAGCTTCCGTCATCTGTTTTCATTTACACATTGTCTTCAAATGACTTGACTTCCAGATTCCAGACAAAAATACAAGACGTTCTCACCAATATATCCCATCTTACTCAGCAATGTGTTGCTTTACAGTATGTTCAGAAGAGTAACTAACCCTACTTAAAAACTTCTCCTTATTAATCGCATTTTCAACACAGACTAAAATTGTAAAGCGGTTTCTGGGTTATCAAGATATAATAAAAAAAGAAAAGAAGCATATATCTAAACATTGGTGATACTTCGTCATGCTGATGGCTGGGGCAATCCAATTTCCAGGGCTGCTACTAAGTCAAGTTATGTGATCTTCATTGAAAGGGAAGACTGGCCAATCTGCAGCTCTTTTTGAACTCTTGTCCCCGCCTTCAACAGAGATGACATCGCCACTGCTTCAGCATTTGATCGCATGACTGGCTTCCATGGGATCCAGAGCAGTGGTGCCTTCCAATAGCTATTATAACTTCCCAGGAGTGGGGTGATCAGCGTTGATGGGGCTAGTTTGATTACAGGTCTGGCTTGGATATAGGGCCATCTATTAGTAAAATAAGATAAGAGGGTGGCCAAAAATAGTAGCCAGATCAGGCTGACAATTGAGACACTTGGTATTTACCTAAAGAGGTTGTAACAATCTATTTCATATCACCTGCTCACAAAAATGTAGTAGTGCACCAAAGGCATATAATACCTGGGCAAAGATGTCCTATACTCCCAGTCAGCTCTTGGGCAAGGTTTTCAATGATTACACTCTTATCCTAATGTGCTAATCAGCATATGACTGAGGTTGACCTACTGTATTTACTCCTGATATCTTGCTTTTGGTTACGACTCTGCCTTACTTCTGACATTTCCTCCAGTTATTTCTGGGACTATCATCTGCCTAGTTTATTGATTATGTTTGTTTGCAACCTGTTTACCTTTGACCTGCATCTACTAAATGTAAAGTTGTCTGCTTACCTGCCTGACACCTGTCAACTTTCAGGCAATTCCAAGTGCCACAAACTAGGAACTGCTACACAACCTCTTTGTAGAGATGCACACCTTAGACACCTCAGTAAAAACCTGTGTGTCCCAAAGTGAGATAGATCCTCTGTATCAACAACAGGTGGTAGAAGTCTGTTGCCAAGGCACAGGCTCTAGCAGTTGCTGATCTTCTACAGAGCTCCTTATGTTGCAGATGTTGGAGTTTAGACAGGACCAGAGTAGAACCTTCAGGACTGTCTAGATGATGACAGCAACAATACAGACAGTATCAGGACACAGTTCCAATCCATAAATGTGAGACGAGTTCAGGACAGACTGGAGATTGCATCTGGCAGCAGATAAATGTAGTCAAGAAAGAAACAAAAGGTCAGAGCAAGTAGAAGGCAGAAACTGAAAACCGGCCACAATCATAACAAGAGGCAACTAGAATTAGAAAACACCAGATGATAAGTAGACTTAGACATGCCAAAAACAAGCCAAGTCACACTGGATTGGATAACCAGCTCCGAGTACAGAAAGTTTGGCTGGTCAGATTATAGACACTGATCAAACTCTCTCTGTGCGCTCTGATGCCGATTTATGTTCAGCTGATTGAGGCCAGGTGTGTGGCTGAAGTGTCAACACATTGCAATACTGAATATTGTCCAGCAGATGGCAGGGAAGAGTCTAAGCATGCCATAAGGAGGATGAACATAAAAGAGGTATGGAAACAAACTGCCATAAATCTATGTTTGATGTGCAGGCAAGGGCAGAGTGTGAAACTATGTCTATTGCTGCTGACAAACAGGATTTACTACGGTATTATCTGTATCGGAGCTGCTGTGCCTTTAGTAATAGCTAACATGAGCTCCTTAGTTTCAACCAAACTGAAGGCCAGCAGGAGACCTATACACAGTGTGGACATTGAAACAACACTGTGCAGGGGCAGTAATGAACCTGAACACAACAGTTTGCTCTTCTGGTATATGAATAGCTTGCCATAGCTACGGACTGGTATACTGCCTGGTAATGCTTACATTTTTGGCATAGCTAAAAGTAGGGATGCACCGATACCAATTACCATACTCGGTACAAGTACAGATACCTTGAGCTCCAAGACTAGACTAGAGAAAAATTCAAAAGTTAGGAGGCAGCTGTCATTCGTAAGGAGCACACGGAGCTCCTAGGATTTGTACATGTTTTAATGTATGATTTTGTTTTTATAGACATATATAAAGGGATGCACAGATACCATTTTTGCAAGTACAAGTACTGATACTTGCCCAAGTACTTACAGACACAAGTACTGATACATATTTGTTTATTGTCATGTGACAGTTTTTCTAAAATAATACAGACTAATGATTTCAGGACAGTGGTGGAGCGCCAGCGCCAGGTCCCAGCTGCTACCTCTGCAACCCTTGTAGTTCTCATGAAAATGTCCAAGTATCGGCACTGGTATCTTAACTGGTATCGGTGCATCCCTAGCTAAAAGGTAAGTGCTGCTATGTTTTTTGAAGGAGGTAAAGTCCAACCTCAAATTAGTCGATAAAGTAGCAGGGTTAGTTCTAATCACGCTACTGCACTTAGAAAGGTCCTACATGGCCCTGTATTTACAGCCAGATAAAGCTTATGTATACAGGACAAATATGTTACTTGAAGAAAGTTAAAGTTAAGTTAAAAACATCATAGCTGCTGGTAGGATAACTCATCTATGAGGTCACCTTTGTAGACAGCACATAACAGAATTACTTTAAAATCTACCCGCACACAGATGGACCTCTTTAACGGTTTAAACAATACATATTTCTAAGGATAAACAAACCCCTATTTTTAGTGTGAATTTGGCAGTACAGCAGCCATGCTTCTGATCTTGAATATCTCATATCTAGCATTGGTGAAACAGTAAACTGTGAAAAAGAAAATATTTTCAATAATCATCTCCTGGTGGAGGCTTTTCCGACAACGGCGACATTCCTGAAATACTGAGCAGGAAATAGTTCCTCCTAAACAGCATGAACATGACAGACTACCACTGTTTTATGGGTCCCGCACAGGAAAATGATTGCGTTTAGCCAATTATTCAGCACCGAAAAAACTCCTTTATCTCTTCCTGTATCAACATAGTTATAAATGAAAAGAGTGTGTTTTACTACAGCTGTGATTGGCAAAAATCTTCATAATCAACATCAAAAGAGACCTCAGAGAGACCTCAGTTTGTGTGACATAAATGGTCAGATTTTCTGTTGACATAACAAGAATTCAAAAAAAATTCAACTGAAGCAAAAAAAAAAAAATACAAATGCTTTTCTCTTCAATGTCCACTTTCCAAGTCCTCAAATGATTTCCACTTGAATTGAGTAAATCTGTTTTAAAATACAAATAAACATGCATCGCATGGATTGTGGGGGGATCAGTCCCTGTCTTTTGTAACCAATGTGAATATGTAGAGGTTGCAGAGCTACAGTCTATGCATAGGCCATGAGGGAGCATGCCATGACATTACCAAAGGGTCCCAAGGAGCAATGTACCTCCATGACCTTGCCACAACCAATGAAGTGTTGAGAACCCAAGCAGGCTGTCTAGTGACTAACCAATGATATAGCTATCATTATCACTCTCCAGAAGTAGAATCCTTTAAATGTAGTTGTAAGCTTTAAGCAGGAACCCAATAACTCTCTTAGTTTTCTAAGAGAGTTATTGGGTTGGCTTCCGGGTTATAAGGGTTGGTTTCCGGTAAGAGGCAATATACTGTACAGTGCCTGTGATCCAGCTTCAAAAAATACTTCTCAGTACATCTAACTGTTAGAATAAAGCTTGAAAATGAAAGTAGGCACGACAAGGTGGTAGTGATTATTATGGAGTTCAAAAAAGTTAAAAGGAGAACTATGAGGTGAGCGATTTTCACTCATCCTCATAGTTAGAGCCGACCTGGACAAAGAGCTGTCACAGGTCGGCTCTATCGATCGGGAAGTGAGCAGAAACATGCACCGATCCGCTCACTTCCTGATCATCTCCCTGCAGTGAGCGGTGACTGTAAGTCACCGCTCCCCGCAGGGATTTCCCCCCTCTCCCCGCTCCGATCCTCCAGTGCTGAGTATAGGAACGAACAGGGGAAGGGGTGGGCACAGCTGGCACTGCCTCTAGATAGGCAGAGTCCGCTGTCACTCACGGAGCAGGGTGGATCTTGACAGTATTGTCGGGATATGTCCCGGCTGCGATGCTTTCAGTATATTGCGGGCAATAGCTTGCTATATACTGAGCTTTGGGTCAAGGGAGGACGCTAGTATAAGTAAAGAGAACTATGGGGAAAAACACTTACCCTACAGTTCTCTTTCAGCTGTAGGGTGCCAAGTCAGTACTGACTTTGAAAACAATGGCAGAGTGGCACTCTATTGGTATGTGACAAAATGCAATGCATGGCCTTGACAACTTATTGAGGGGCCCCCAGCATTGCACTGCAGGATGTCAATTCTTTGATGCCCACTTTGATAAAACCTGGAAGTTGTGTACTGCAGGTGGTTCTCAGTCTGCTCTAGTTGGAGATACTGATCAGCATCTTGCAGTGGCTAGCCTTTATCTGAATGTAAATTTGTTTTACATCTGTTGGCATGTACATTTTAAATAAGTAGCAGCTCAACAAAAAAGTGAAAACTTCCTGTTGTGTACACAGAACTAGAAACATTATCATTTCAGGGTTTTAGCCCTTCCATACTTTATTGTAAATGTAAGAAACTTTTGGCCTGTAGGTATATTTTAATTGAAACAAGAAAACCACACATACATAACAATAATAGCAAGACTGAGATATATACTGTATGTCAGTAAAAATAAATTATTATTAAATAATGCACCACAGTACATATATGACCACATAATTGTCAGGGTTACCTAAATTAGTCCTTTTCTTAATATACTATTCCTAAATGACAAAACTTACTGCTTCACCGATTTTTCCGATGTTTCCTATATCTCCAACTTCACCCTAGTAAGAAAAAGAGAACGTATTTTATTGGCATTTACTGTTATTTTCATAATTATGTCTTTAGAACTATAATTTTTATGAATGTTCTATTTTTTACACACACACACACACACACACACACACACACACACACACACATATACACATATACATATTTCAGTTTGCCCTGTAGAAAAAGGATGGAATGTGACTGACTGATTTTAGTTACTGCTCTTTGCACATTCACTGCAATATGCCCTCCTGCACTCCCTGCTAATGAAGAGCCCCCCAAAAACCTATGCATGAGCAAAGTAAAACTTTCACAGGGCTATGTATGCTCCCCCAAGAATGATTAACTAATTTCTCTGCTCTCTCTCCTCCTATCAGCATGTCTCTTGCAGTACATGAGCATTGCAGCACATCTGCCTGACTCCTTGTGCCGTTTCTTACTCTCCCAGTCTGAGCTCTACCTACCCTGCTTGTAATTAAAATAAACATAATGCTGTACTGATGAATATAGAGCTGTATCAATTTGTGTATTTTATATCTGCCTTAGGTTAGGCTTTAAAAGAGAAAAGAAAACTGATGTGGTACATCTGAAATTTAATTGGAATGGGTAAATTCTAAAAAACGTTTCTTTGGATCTCTGCAGTCTACCTATTGCTTTTGCTTTACTATGCATGCCAGACAGTCTTTTATCCTAGAACACCTTGTGTAAGTACAGTTCTCTGAGTACACGCAGCTTGAATATTAACTACAAACAAAACATGGTAATTGTAATCCCACATTGGGCAACCATAAGGTTCCAGTGACATCTCAGCCAAGAAATGTTAAGGAGGAAGAGACTATGTCATGCCCCAGATGGAGAGCTCATCCTCACTATGTCTGTCTTATTTCCTACTCAGCTTTGTTTCTGCAGGAAGAAAGGGTTTATATAAACAGGTTCACCTTCAAGCCTTCCAGCCCTTGTTCTCCAGCATAGCCTTTACGTCCCGGTCTTCCCTGACAGCAAATGAGAGAGAGACATTTTTTGTGAATCATGTATTCTGTTAATTATTTCAACATTGTAACACGGTCAATTTAACACTCAGTAACAACTGCCTACTCATTTATGTGGGTACGTTTATGAGTCGCTATGCTTAAAGCAGAACTCGCGGCAAATCAAGTTTTAACCCTTGCAGTTGGCCTACCCCCGCACTCAGGGCCAGATTTACTCTTTCTGCTGCCCCAAGGTTCCTCTATTCGCCCCCCTGAATGGCAACCCCCCGCCCCCCAGTGGAGAATGGCAACCAGATGGTGGGAGCAGCAGGGTTAGTTTTATTTTATTTTTTCTTAACTTTTTTTTTCACCTTGAGATGGAGGAAAAAACTGAAATGACTGGACCCCAAGTCGGTCTATGGGGAATCGTATGTAAACAGACATGTGTCTGCTTATGTCATATTCCCCTTATCCGGTACAATAAGGTCTGTTGAAACACTTCCGTTTGTCGTAATTTGTGTCTAGGACCTGAATGTACCTTCTCTGCTACCCTTGTAATCACTTAAGTTCCTGTCTGTCTGTCAGCCATCTTTCCTGACCTTTTACCTGTGTCAACTTCATATTAATCTACTGGCTGGCAAATTTGTACATGACTTCAGTAAATTTGTACTAGACCTAGGCAAGCCAACATTTTTAAATGTACAGGTACTTTCATGTTACTATTTCTATCAAAACTATTTGCTAGATGTAGGCAGCTAAAGTTATAACATATTTAAAAAAAATACAAAATATTTTTTCCCTGTAAAAGTCAAGCTTCCTCTGCCAATTACACCTCCCTCCAGCCTTCCTGTTGGTCAGTGGTCCACCCCACCTATTACATTAAAGCACAGACAGTGTTAGAAGGTGGAGTAAAGCTAGACTTGAGGGATAAGTCAAGATTTGCATAACTGCATTTATCTGAATATATCTCTAGATCTACTGCCATGCAGTTTAAACTAAACATAACCTTTGATCATACACATGTTAATAATTTTAATTTTCCCAGGTATGTGACAGTTTACTTGCGGTATAGGTAAAGGTCATGAATATTTGTTTAGCCCAATATCTGACTCCATTACATGCATGTAACAAGTGACACGGTATATTATGAGACCCTGATCATACACCAAGGTTAAAGCCCCAAACCTACTTCATTAACACTTACACCCATATGAACTGACATGCCAATTTACACTTTTTTAATTAACAAACTATATCTGTATTTATCAGTCTGCTCCTGATACATATCCATACAATAAAATACACGGTCATTTTTTCAATGGTTTATTAACCAAGTTCACCCCATTTTCTCAAAGTGTGGATACAACAGTTAAGCATACTAAGCGACAGTGTACATACCATTGGTCCAATACCACCCGGAGGTCCAAGTGGCCCTTCTTCACCCTGTAAAATAGTAATCCATGCGGAAATAGTGTAGAAATACATAATAACATGAATGTGTCTATTGAAAGTTTCTCATAAAAGTGAGTCCAACTCATATTTAAAAAGCACTGATGAAACGCATCTAAGGTGAAAATGTAGAGATTACAGAAAGCCTCTAGGAAAAAGATGCCATTTGGAACGCCTTTAATGCCTATCAAGTTATGCCTTCTTGCTGTGGTTCCACCTGACTGAGTCCCTTAGGGCTTGTTGGCTCACTATCCCTTTCTATCCAGAAATGTTTTCACAGGTACAACCAGAAACAGTGACATCTCTAGTTACAAGTATCAATGGAAAGCTCATTCCTTAACATTTAATTGTATATCTCTCAATAAATTTTATTGAAGCATGTTTTCAATCTTATACAGTATAATAGTTCAATAAAGAGCAATGGCATAAGCAATAGAGAACAGTACATAGAACATTATTATCTAAAGTAACCAAAGATCATGACTTCCATCCAGTATTAAGTATATGGCATAGATGGTAAGCCAGAAATGAAATGATAAGCATACCTTTGGGATCCCCGTGGCATGTAGGCCAATGGATCCCAAACACAGAATGTGTATATCATAACTTATGATACAGGGGTAGGAAAGTGTTGGAGGAGTCAGTTTTTTTTTTCTTCCTTTCAATGGATGTAGTGGGAGGACTCTACCCAAGACTATTTTAATGACTTGGTACATTGGGGTCCAGAAGTGTTTCACTATGGTGCATTGCCACTAAATATGCTCAAAAGTGCCATAGGAGGAGCTGCCCCAAAACAGGTCCTAGGGTATGTGGGGATTTCCTTGTAGATGTAGGCTTGCAAATACCACCCTAACATAAGCTTGTAATTGGTTTCAACTGCTAAAACAGGCCTTCCACAGCTTTCCAGGCCTCCTGCAACACTGGTTGTAAGAGTTTTTGTTTCCATTTAATGCTATAAGGGGGAAGTGAAGCTGCTAAAGGTAGTATTAGTTGGTAATACAAGTAAAAAGGTATGCTGGTCCTTGCTACATTTGTATTTAAAGGTCATATATTTGCCTTTCAGGTTATCAAAGTTTACATTAAATATATATTGTATAGAGCACTGAGAGCCCCACGCCATTGTGACTATCTTGCCCACCTGTGGCTCTTCCTTTACCTCTCTATAGCCCTCTTGTCTTTTCAAGTCCCTGTGTATTAGCACAGGCAGCAAGCAACACAGGCAGTTTATTGGCCCCTGATGCCAGAAATCTTTTTGAAGCAGACCTAAACCCTAACCTAACCATATTCATAATCAATTGCCACTGATGTGCTAACACCACTAAATATAAAATAAGCTGTGCAATACGTGATGCAGAAATAAGCCCCATTTGGCTCACACCACTGTGCTAACTCAACCATTACATCCTCCAACCTCCATTTGGCTGCTGGAACCCCAAACACAGTTGAGGCAGCAAAATATAAGGTCATGTCTGTCGGTCATAAGGCAGGTTCTCTGTTCATGTACAGCCATGGATTGACTATTGACTGGCTCTTTCAAAATGTCATCTTTTCATTGAGAGTACATTTCCCACCAAGTGGCAATCATAAATGACAGGACCGCAGAAGGAAGAGGGGGCTGAGGTGAACTAGCTTAGGTTTAGAACCACATTATTATTATTAAAGTATATCAATGTCCAAACTTACCTCTACACCTTTTGGACCTGGCGGACCTGGAGGCCCTCTGTCTCCAATGAGCCCCTATAGAAAAACAATTAGAACTCCCTTACAATGAAAGAAGTTATAAATCATCCCTCCCAGTGTGAAAGTGTAACTTCATCTTTCACAAGTGCCCTGATAAATTATATTTTCTCACTGATGTGCATTGCATTTAAGTGCAACAGGAAAAGTTCAAATTTAGCAGGTAGCTCCGTTATCTGTCTTCAAGTGATAATGAAATATATGCAAACGCATGGTATTCCACTGTCATACACATGTGAAAAAGTTAAAAAAACCCACATATTGTTTTTTTAATATATATATTTAATTTATTTACTTCAGTACTAAAAATATGTTAAAAAGTCTCTGTTTTTATATCGCACAATACATATAAAAATGTAATTTTTCCTATTTGCAGCAATTAAGTGCCATGCTCTTATGCTATTCACAAAACATCTGCAATATAATAAAAAAGAACGGGAGCTCAGATTACACACACAACTAAATAACTAGTAGAGGGTCACACCACAGGTGGGACTGTCTTAAAACATAGCAATGCCTTACCCTAGCTAACTGCCCTCAGCATGTTTCCACTACAGATCTCAGATCTTCAGGCAAACTGGTCCAAGGGCCACAGCGGGCTGCAGCAAACAGCAAATGTGTGGCCTTTTCTTCGTAGATCTTCATACAATCTTTTTAAATCAATATTTTATCATTATAATTAAAGTGTTTTACACCATAAGTATAAAAGGGTAAATGTTTAAAAAAAAAAAGTAGGAAAAACACTCCGGCTCACTGTCCACCCCTTTTTTATTCAGTTCTAAGCTACTATCAATCACGATGATGTAAACATTGGGGTGAGTAAAGACACCCCTTCCACTGACTCCTAACCATGGTGGGCACAACCAGACAATTATTCTTAGTATTTTAATTAGATGATCGGTCCAAAAACCGGTGTTTATTGATATATTGAACGTTATTTGAGAAAATCTAAACAACTCTGAGCTGTGAGTACCTTTCCCTCCTACTAGATTGTTAGTTCTCACAATCAGGGCCCTCCTACCTCCTGTACTGAAATTGTATTGTTAATTGTATTGTCTCCCTCAGTTTTGTAAAGCGCTGCGCAAACTGTTTGTAGTGTTTTACACCATAAGTATAAAAGGGTAAATGTTTAAAAAAAAAAAGTAGGAAAAACACTCCGGCTCACTGTCCACCCCTTTTTTATTCAGTTCTAAGCTACTATCAATCACGATGATGTAAACATTGGGGTGAGTAAAGACACCCCTTCCACTGACTCCTAACCATGGTGGGCACAACCAGACAATTATTCTTAGTATTTTAATTAGATGATCGGTCCAAAAACCGGTGTTTATTGATATATTGAACGTTATTTGAGAAAATCTAAACAACTCTGAGCTGTGAGTACCTTTCCCTCCTACTAGATTGTTAGTTCTCACAATCAGGGCCCTCCTACCTCCTGTACTGAAATTGTATTGTTAATTGTATTGTCTCCCTCAGTTTTGTAAAGCGCTGCGCAAACTGTTTGCGCTATATAAATCCTGTATAATAATAATAATAATAATGTATTAAAATGACGGTTGTACCTTTGGTCCTTCAGGTCCATTCACTCCAGGCAAGCCAATATCTCCCGGAAACCCCTAATAGAGAAATTAGAAGGGACAATAGGTATGGATTTGAAGAATGCCATTAAACATGATACATAGTGAAGACTAAAGACAGAGCTGCCTTAGTATGATTCTATGAGTTTTTTTTCTTACATTTTGTACAAATGTAATTTGTAAAAAAAATAAATTGAATTACCATGTGAGCCATTTTGTTATTTTAAGTTTTTTTTAAATAGGCTTTTCCTTTCAAATTTCAGCCACATACAATATTGTTTACCCCAAATTGGCTCACTTCACTGTGATTTCTTAAAATGGCCACTTCTTCAGGAGGGTGTGATGAGACACTTTAAACAGAGTGGTAGCGTCTCTCGGGATACGCTACCACTCTGCTGGCACTCTATAGCAGTGACACTCTACAGTAATAGTGAAGCTCAAAATCCCAGCATGCCTCTGCCTCTGGGAGGCATGCCTGGCAGAGTCTTGCAATGCCTCATGGGGCCTGTAGTTCCACAACAGCTGGAATGTCATGGTTACCTCCTACTGCTCTATAATAATCCACTTTGCTCCTCCCTCTGGCAGGTACATAAAAGTTAATACAGAGAGGCAAGGGGCTAAGGAGCTTACCCAGGAGAAGAGCAGAGAAGGGAAGGGAAAAGAAGAGAAAACAAAAGAAGAGAAGGGAAGAGAGAAAAAGAAGAGAAGAAAAGAGAAGAGAAGAAAAGAGAAGAGGCTATAACAGGGAGTGAGCTCTTTTAGAAGTAGTCAAATTTACTAGTAAGTGGCACGTTGAGAAATCTGCAAGTAAAGCTCTGCATGTAAGCATTTAAAATACTTGAATTTTCTGTGCTTAGCCTACAATGTTTTAAGATGGTGACAAGGTCTTTTCATTTAATTACAAGGAGAAGCACTGACCCATACCAGTGAATCGGAAATGAGCTTTTACAAGTTTTATTATTTTATTTAGTGTATTTTCCATACCAATGTATGTTGTTGAAAGCTGAATGTTAACTGCCTCCGGAGCATTAGCACACAGTACAGGTTTTGCACGGGAAACAACCCCAACTTTACTGTCACACTCTCTTCTTTTCATTTTATCCTTTTCCAGAGGGGTCTCAAGAACTCCATTTATAATCCACTCTTAACTAGATTCACTGGCAGACTTCAAAGGACTTATCTACTAAGATTAAAGCAAATGATTTTATGAGATGAGAGTCTGATACTTGCATGAGAAGCAGCTCTCTGATACTGGAAGACATCAAAACTCAGCAAATCCGATCATATGACCGCTAAACCAAAGCAGTCATGTTTGGTCAATTAAAAAAATATATGAGGACCTAGCCAATTCTATACCCCTCTGGAAAAGAAAATAGCCTCTTGTAGGTCTACAATCAAAAAATATAATTAACTATTTCTTACTAGGAGTGACATAGTTATCCCACGTTTCCAGCTAAGCACACCTGCTGGGGCCATTCTATGTTCATTCTATGTACTGGATCCCTTTGGATAGGTGCCCAGAACATAGTGGACTTCAGGAGCAAGTCTGGTATCTCTCCTACTGAGGATTTGTGCCAATCCCTGCTCATCTGCTGCTCAAATACATAGTGTCAACCGTGCTTCAAGAGACTCTACGCTGAAATACTAAAAGGGACAGGTGAGTCGGTGTCTGTTCTACCCCGGATGTCTAGGCCCCTATACCCTCTCTCCCAGAGTGAATATGTTAATAAAGTTCTTTAGCATCATACTTCTCGTTTGGATATCAGCTCTGTTGGTCACTAGAAGAAGGGCGGTCAATGCTAGTGGTGCAGCCAGTTGCTAAAAATCCACTAGACAGGCTAATTGATGATCAGGACCCGGCTATATTCTAGCGACTCCTTCGGGGGTGAGTGTTACATAAGGTAACGGAGTTACAATAATGGTACCTAAGTGTGTGTCTGCTACCGAATAAACATTTAACTTAAGTATTTATACATCACTTCTTTTATAATGTTGGAAGCATTTGCAGAGATTTTATTAAGTACATCTGTGTATGCTAACTTTATTATTAGTGCTTGCAAGTGTTTATATATTTTATGTGACCCGCCACAGGCTGCTTGTCTTGGAATGCGTTATTAGAAAACTGCTAGACATAAGTAATATTGCAACCATATTTGTTCATTTAATTTGTGAGAAAAGTGCCTGGGAATGGCAACAAGTCTCTGTATCCATGGCCAATCCATTATGCCAACACCAACTTTGCCGGTGTGATAACGAATGATGACATGGGATGGGAAACTGGACTGCATGCAGCTCAATGGTGATATTTTCAGTTATTTAAACCAGTGTGATATAAACATGTTTGACATGATCAACTATATTGTTGGATGATTTACACATGAAATGAAATGTTATCATTTGTCATATCACATAATTTCAATTGCCACGGTGATGACACATGGTCCTAAATGCAGGAAATGTTGCTGTAATTACAGATATAATTTGGTCTAACATAGAAGTTGGTTGGAAGATCACTTGAGCAGAGGCGGCTCTTTAATTAGGCAAATAAAGGTCAAGCCCTCCCAAGGGCCTCGCGGCTGCCTAATTTGCCCTGCAGGCGCATTACCTCGCAGGCACGGCCAGGTAACAGATGAGCTCTCAGCCCTCTCGCTGTCAAACTGAGAGCTCATCCCTTTCTTCGGTCCATCCACTCGGCCTTCTGGAGCTCCACCCACCAGCCAATGAGACGTCACCCCTCCCATTCACGAGGATCTCATTTTGGCTGCGAGAGGGCAGAATTTAGTATCAGAGGCAGATCGAGACGTTGGCACCTGGTCCTGCAAGCTCCTGCTCGCGAGACGCGGCCCTCACTGCCCTGGTTGGACCAGCCCACATAGTCCTGGTGAGAACTGGTCTGCACATCCCTGGTGAGACCCAGTCCTGGCCCGTGCAGCATTGTCTAGATGCGACCCGCGCAGACCTGGTAAGACTCCATAGAGTCCTGGTCAGACCCTAGGGAGCCCTGGTGAGACCCTAGAGAGCCCTGGTGAGAGCCTCATTCTAGAGCCCTGGTGAGACCCTAGAGAGCCCTGTTGAGACCCTGGAGAGCCCTGATTTAACCAGGGCTCTGTGGGGTCTGACCAGGGCTCTTAGGGGTCTAACCAGGCTGGTGAGACTCCACATAGCCCTGGTGAGATCCTAAAGAGCCCTGGTGCTGGTGAGACCCTATAGAGCCCGGGTTTAACCAGGGCCCTGTGGGGTCTCACCAACTCGCCTAAGGCCTCGCAAACTCTAGAGCCGCCTCTGCACTTGACATGAGCTTAGCAGGAAATTCTGTGTTAAGCTATAATTAAAAAGGTACTTTAGAGTAGTTTATTGAACAATTCCCTTACCTGTCCTGCTGCCTGCGCCGATATACTTCGCTGTGTTGAACAATGGAGCTCACACAAAAATCTACAGCATCCAGCACTTCAAGCAGTGTCAGATATTGACATCCCCTGCTACACAGTGTGGTTTTACCCACCATCTCCTAGATCGCTGCAGCACACAGAAGTAATGCAAGGATCGGCAGAAGGAACCACGAAAACAAAGCAGGGGAACAAGAATCCAACATACCTGGAAGCATGCCAGATGCTAAACATCCATCAGCAAGCTTCTCTCAACACAGCAGACATTTGTATTGTGAGCAGCAGGACAGGTAATTATTAAAGTAGAACTTCAGCCAGAAAATAAAAAGTTTCAAATGAATAGCCCATTAAAATATAAAATAGCAAAGGAGTGTATAAAAGAACCACACCGTTTCCTGTATCGTGTATGCAAATTTAGACTTATAAGTAGATTCTAGCACATATACAGTATAATATATCCACTATAACCTCATGAGCTGATGAACATAATACATATATAAATATACATCTAAATACACAATATACTTATATTTTTTATAAACTTTGCTTTGAATTTTTCTTTCATTGATTTCATAAACTGGGATTCTATTTAAAATGTAGATCTGAAAGAAAATGTAAGACCTTTCAAATAAAATAGGTTGTCTCAATAATGGCTGTATCGAATGACAAACATTTTTTCAGAGTTCTGTACAAATGTTCCAACAAAATTGTAACTAGCTTTTAGTGACATTAAACTCAGGGGTTAAATCTTAAAAATGTGTTGTTAGTACCCTAAGAAAAATGTAGCTTCCTCCTCCATCCTTTTTTGCAATGTGATACAAGTCTCGGGTTCAGATGAAACTAACTCCCACTACTCCATCTTGCCCTAGGCTGAGCTGTGTTTATCCCCTATCCCATTTTGCCGCGCTTTCAAGAGCTGCAGCCAAGATTACCATTAATATGGTCAGCACAAGGCGCTGTTCAAGTTTGTAATGCCATGGCCAAGGATGATCTGAAGCCTTCTGGTATTGATTTTCGTCTTCTGGTGAGACGTTTGCAAACTATTAGAATCCTAATTCCGCTCCAGGACAAAGGAAGGGGCACGGAGGACAATTCATCACATAGGAGATCTGGTAGGAAAATGTGATGAGAACAGGAAGATCTGGATTTACTGCACATACTGTAAAGGACTCACCTGAGGGGATTACGGAAACAGATGGTAAGTATGTTATAGAAATAAGGATTGGGCACCCCTGCAAATAATTAGTATCTTCTACATAAACCAGCTGAAGCCTTTCTTTTATGCCAGTAACCTTATTAAAGGGAATACAAGCTTATAGGAAACATGGAGGCCATTGCTTCAGAAAATGCTAGTTGCCTGCCTGCTATGCAGAACCTTGAGCTTTCAATTGTATGTAAACCCTTACAATAAATGTCTCTTATCGGTTCCATTGGTCTGTTAAATATAGCACTGAACATTTTCAGGTTTTTTTTTTGTTTGATACCTGTTGATCCTGCCCTACTATCACGTGCTCTCTGCCTGTGCTGCACTGTTATCAATTATATTATTCTCTAAATACTAACAAACCACATCCATCTATGTTATGGACAACAGAAAAGGGGTGGGGTTCCATGGTCCTAGCTTGTTTCTGTTGTTTTGATACAGAAGTAGAGATAAGCAGACCAAACCTGAGCTCCGCTAAACCTGGAAGGAGCTCCTCCCGAACATGAAAGAAGGTGCCCAATCAGCTGCTGGTGGGGAATTCCCTTTGCCCAGCTTGATGTAAAAAGCAGTGACATCATTTGCCTTATACTGTATGGCTATATGCCTATACTTGCCTATGAACATATTAGGTAAATAATGTCAACACAAACATCCCGTCCCTTTGTTTACATGCATCTGCGGGACAGGGAATGCCCAGCCAACAGCTTATGAGAGGAAGTGGCCATGGCACTTCCTTATGTGGAAGACCTCAGATTTGGACCGGGTTCAGTCTCAACCTGGGCTCATCCCTGTACAGAAGGTGACCCAAGCATTGTCACCTACGAGAGAGAGAGTTAGTGGCAGGATAACCAGGTAAAGCTAAAGGAAAAAAAGCTGGGGAAAAAAGAAAACTAATGCAAATCACTACAGCTAAGCACTGCCAAGCTGCAATATATGTGTATATATATA